CTGTCCCAGACTTTGGGGGGGGGGAGGGGGCGATGACTATATGATGATGTTCCAGATCTGTGGGGGAAGGGAGGACTGTACCACCTGTTGAGGGCAGGCTCATGGCCAGGGCTGTGTGAGCCCCTCTGTCCCACAGGTGCTGTTCACAGGTGTGGTGGATGCGGCAGGTGAGCAAGCGGTGGTAGCGCTGGGCGGGACCTTGGCCGACTCTGTTTTCGAGTGCACCCACCTGGTGACCGACCGCGTCCGCCGCACGCTCAAATTCCTGTGCGCTCTTGCTCGCGGCGTTCCCATCGTCACCCCTGCCTGGCTCGACCAGGTACCAGTGCCCTCACTCCTGACCCACAGCGCCCCCTGACCTCCCACCCCTATTCAAATAGGGACTGAGAGAGACTGCAGGTAGGGCCTCGGAGTGGGTGGGGCTAAGGTGGGAGGTGGGGCTAGAGTGGGCCGGGCTCAGGTAGGGGTTGGCAGTGTTGGAGAGCAGGTGGCACTGTTGGAGTGGGTGGAGCTGAGCTAAGGCAGGGATGGCTAAGGTGGGGTGGGTGGAGCTATGGCTGGAATGGGCAGAACTAAGGTGGGGGTAGGGGTGTTGGAGTGGGCGGGGCTACAGCCAGGAGTAGGCGGGCTTTAGAGAAAGGTGGTATGGACAGTCTAGGAGGGGGCGGAGCTAGACTTGGGGTGGCGCTTGGGTGAGGCAGGGGCAGTGGGAGGGACTTTCCCTTGGGAGGGCCACTGCCTAGTCAAGCTGAGGGAGAAGAGAGGCCTGGTCATGACCCTGTTTCCTTGCCAGAGCAAGCGCAGCCACTGCTTCCTGGAGCCCAGCGGGTTCGTGGTTCGAGACCCAGAGCAGGAGGAGAACTTCGGGTTCAGCTTGACCCAGTCGCTGCGGCGGGCACGACGTGGGGCCTTGCTCCAGGTGGGTGCCCAAGTTCCCTCTTATACCCCTGCCCGGGCAGCCCTTGGGTCTCCATCCCCTCCCCCCTTTTTAAGTGTTCCCATCTCCTTCAGAGGGTCTGCCCCCAGCTTTGAGGGTTTGCCTGTCTGACTAGGCAACCCCACCCCACCCCACCCCACCCTTGCCTAGGCTCCACCCCCTCATGCCCCATCGCCTCTTCAGCCTGCTGAAGAAGCCCTGTCCCTCCCTCAGGCCATGCCCCCTTTTCAGGTAATGATGGGGAATCCCTGCCCCGCCTTAGACCCAGCCTCCTTTCCAGACCCTGTAGATCAGTGGTCTCCAGCCTTTTTAAGTAGAAGATCACCTTTTGGCATTTAAAAGCAAACCAAGATCTAACCCCGTCCCCCCACCCCTGCCCAGCAGGTAAGTCTGTGGGGAGGGAAGGAGGAGGGGAGATTGAGGCAGAGGGAGAGCAGATTATTATTTGGTGGTGCGCCTCCCCAGCAAGCAAGTCAGTGGGAGAAGGACACCCGAAAATTCACCGTAGCCCCGTCCCAGCACTGCCGTCCTGCTTAGCCTGAGCAGTGCGTGGCACTGCCACACCTGCTTGGGGAGGGGAAAGCAGCACCACGCTCTGCTTGGTCCGGGTGGCGGTGCTGGTGCTGGGAGCAGAGGCTCTGGTGAATTTTTCAGTGCCTGCAGCCCGCCTCATAGCTCTGCTCACAGCGCTGCCCAGTGTGCAGATCTAGAGGCACCTGCCTCTTGTGCCCTCCAGGGCTGTGCGCCCCCTCGGCTGTTGGCCCGTGCCCCCTCCCTCCTGCCTGAGCTGCCCTGCGTTTTTGGGGGTGAGGCACATGCCCCCTGATCTGTGTGCGATGGAGGCAGCTGTAGTTACAGGCTTGGCTTTGCATCCCAAGCGTGGCTGCAGCTGGCCCCGGGAGCGGCCCAACGCCACGTGGTGCGTCCTGCCCCCAGGCGTAGCCTCATCCCCTGCCCGCTTGGTGTGTAACATCAAGCCAGTCCCAGGCAGGCTGTAGCAGGACTCGGGGCACAAAGCCCAGCCTGCAACTGTAGGTGAATGCACACAGAGAGGGGGGCACATGCCCCTCAGGGCCTCCACTGGCATGCGTACAGTGGCAAGAGCCCCCCTGCACCCCTGGACAAGCTGCCTGGGATCCATCCTCTCACCACACACCTGGCCGGGGCCCCACTCAATTTACCCCTGCTCCTGCCTCTGCAGCACCGTCCCTCTTGGGGCCTCAGTTGGGCTCCCCCCGCTTTCCTCCCCCACAGACTGATCTGCTGATTGGGGTTGGGGCGTGTGTGTGCGTACCCACCCCCCACCTCGGGATAGACTTCAAGAGGCCTTCATCTACTGGTTGGTGACCACTGTTGTAGATCTAAGTAGCCCCACCCCCTTTTCAGATTTCATGGATCTGAGAAGCTCCGCTTCTCCCTCCAGCTAGCATGGTGTCGGGTTGGCCTCTCTGACCTCTCTCTCCCTCCAGGGCTATGAGATTCACGTCACCCGCCATGTCCAGCCAGAGCCTGAGCGAATGAAAGAGTTAATAGTCTGCAGTGGGGGTATCTTCCTACCCAGAATGCCGCGGGCCTACAAGGTGGGGGTTGCAGGTTGGGAGTGACAGGCATCATGGGGGGCAGGAAGCTGTGGGTTGGGAGTGAGGGGTACTGGCAGAGCCAGGGGGAACTGCAGGTTGGGAATGAGAGGCACTGCCTGACCCCTACCTGGCGCCTCCACAGCCCAAGCGCCTGGTGCTCTCATGCCCTGCCGACCTGACCTGCTGCCGCCCTGCCCTGGCCGTGGGCCTGCCTGTGGCCTCGGCGGAGTTCCTGCTCACCGGGGTCCTAAGGCAGGAGGCTGAGCTGGGCCCTTACTGCCTGGACCAACCCCAGCCACTGGCGCACCTGGCCCCCTCCACCCGGAAGAGGAAGGGAGCAGCTGGCTCCTCTGGAACCACCAAGCGCCGGCACTGACAGGGTTAATGCCCTGGGGGTTTGGGGGGGGCTGTTCCTATAGATGACTATATTTTTCAATAAAGTGACTTTTGCAGGAAAAAAAGGTGTTGGTGTGAAGTGAGAGGGCAACTTAAAAAAATACAGCCTTAAGTATTGCCAGCAATTTTTTTGTCATATGAAGTAATTATAATAAATCTGTTACTGTGTACTACTGACAGGTTGTCTGTGTACCACTGGTGGTGCCTGTGCTACTGGTTGGGAAGTGTTGCTCTAGACCAATACAGCTACAACTCGGACACCTGGACTCCCCAGCAGCTGGGGTTCCTGGCACGAACCTGCCCCCCATGGGTGTCCCCCCGCCCCCCCATAACCTTTGACCCAACCCTATTTTGGGGTGTGGCCCTTTAATACCCTCCCCTGCCTGCTGGTGGGAGCTGGCGTCCTCCCCTCCCCATCAGGCCCCTGCTTGGGCACTGCTTGAGCCTCCAAGCCTGGAAGCGGCACCTCGAGAGGCACCGTGGGAACATAGAGGGCGGGTGGCGTCAGACGAGAGCAGCTCCTGCCCGCGGTCTGCCACAGCACGGTGTGGTGGAGCCAAATGAGAGCAAGAGTGTCCACACCACGTCCTCCACAACATGGCAGCCCGTGTGGAGCATCGAGTGAGGCGGCAGTGAGGACCGTGGTGCAGCGTCGCAAGGAGGAGAGGGCTAGAGTGTCCATGTGGGGTCCTCCACATCACGGCGGTCAGTTACTGGCCTGAGGCACCGATGCGTAGATAATGCCCCAAAGGGGCTAGAGTGTACCCTTGCGGTCCTCCATACCAGTTACTGCCTTGCAAGGGCGGGGTGGGGGAGACACCCGGGAGAGAAGCCCCCAAAGGCAGGGCTAGAGTGGTTGCTTTCAGGCTTC